GCTATGGTTGTGCCCCCAATTTAGATATTTTAGAGCAGTATTTCATTGATACTGTAAAAATAGGAATCTTAAATGTCATAAATGTACAAAATAGATTTTAAAAATAAAGTCCTTGAGAGGCACCTGGGTGGTTCAGTCGGTTAACCATCTGACTCTGGATTTCCATGTGGTTCATGATCTCCCGGTCATGAGATGAAGCCCCACATCAGCCTACTGCTGGGCAGAGAGCCTGCTTGAGATTCTCTCCCTCTGTCTCCCCCTGCCCCTCTCCCCTCCCCCAACTCACTCATGTGCTCTCTTGCTCTCTCCAAAAAGAAATATATATGTATATATATATAAATATATATGGTCTTCAAAATTGGAATCTCATTAATAAATAATTGTTTGTCTTTAGCTGATCCTTTGCTTTTTCTCCTCCCTTTCTTTATTCCTTTCCTCCTTCCTTCCTTTCATTCCCTGGGGAGCCCTAGGACTCTGCTCCACGATGGTGATGGTAATGGTGGTGACAATTTGGATAGGTAGGCTATTTAGGAATAACAAGCAGTGTTTTGATGACTCAGGTGTCACGTTTCCCATATGAGCCCATGACATGGTTGGCAATGATTTGTGGAATGTTGACAAGATGGCAGGCTGAAGCTTGTGGTTCCTGAGTCTGGAGTGTCATAGCATGAGTGAGTGATTGCTAATTCCTGAGAATTACAAGTATCACTACTTTAGGAGAAATCTAGGCAACAGAGGTTTCTCAAAATTTTAGTACCTATGAAGTGCAACTTCTCTAATTTGGTTACATTTTTCTTAATACCTAAGTCTTCTCAATTAGCATGGCTACTTGTTCCTAACTCATGTCAGTCAGATTTAGAATTTCCATTTATTATTTCCTTTTGGGCTGCTATAACAAAATACCACGGGCTGGGTGTCTTATAAACAATAGCAGTTTATTTCTCATAGTTTTGGAAACTAGAGGTGTGAGATTAGGGTGCCAGCATGGCTGGGTGAGGGCCCTCTTCAGGGTTCCACATTTTTGTTTGTTTACTCACAAAGTGGAAGGGGGTGCTGAGCTTGTGGGTTCTCTTTTTGTTTGTTTTATTTTGTTTGGGTTCTTTTTTTAATAAAGAATTTATTTATTTATTTTAGACAGAGAGTGGGGAGAGGGGCAGAGAAAGAGGGAGAGGGAATCTCAAGCAGATCCCCTGCTGAGCTCGGAGCCCAATGCAGGGCTTGATCCTAGAACCCCGACACCATGACCTGAGCCAAAACCATGAGTCGGATGCTCAACCAATTGAGCCAGCCAGGTGCCCCTGGATTCTCTTTTATAAGAGCACAAATCCCATTCATAAGGGCTCCATCCTCCCGACCTAAGCACTTTCCAAAGGCTCCACCTCTTAATACCTTCAGACTGGGCATTGGGATTTCAACATATAAATTTTTTTTAAAGATTTTATTTATTTGAGAGAGAGAGCATGAGAGAGAGAGAGCACGAGAGGGAAGAGGGTCAGAGGGAGAAGCAGACTCCCTGCTGAACAGGGAGCCCGATGCGGGACTCGATCCTGGGACTCCAGGATCATGACCTGAGCTGAAGGCAGCCGCTTAACCAACTGAGCCACCCAGGCGCCCTCAACATATAAATTTTGACACAAACATTCAGACCATGGCACTAATCAAACTGGCTTCCAGTAGTCTCCACTTCTCTTTCTTCCTTCCTTCCTTCTCTTTAGCTTAATATTTCTTGAACATTCACTTACTATGAACCAGGCATTGGGCAATTGCCTTGCTTCGTGTACCTCATTTTATTCTCACAGCAAGCTCAAGAGATGGGTATTATCATTATCCACATTTTACACATGAGGATCCAGAGTCCCAAGGTTGAAGGAACAGAGAGCTAGCATAGGACAGAGCGTCAGTTTAGACCCAGGCATCTTACTCCAAAGCCTTTGAGCACAACCACCACATACTCTTCCTCAGCTGCCAATTCACTGTCAAAGGCTGCACACAGAGCAACTCCAGGATCAGCTAAGCCCAGAAGTCCTAGAAGGATTCTTCCTTCTTCTCTTCATACTCATTCCTTGTATCATTACAAAAAAAAAAAAAAAATCCATTCACCATTCAGAAAGTGTAAGAGATAGAATACTAATGTAGGAAAAAAAAACAATTTATTATTTTTTTAAAGATTATTTATTTATTTATTTATTTGACAGAGAGAGACACAGCAAGAGAGGGAACACAAGCAGGGGGGAGTGGGAGAGGGAGAGGCAGGCTTCCCGCGGAGCAGGGAGCCCGATGCGGGGCTCGATCCCAGGACCCTGGGATCATGACCTGAGCCGAAGGCAGATGCTTAACGACTGAGCCACCCAGGCGCGCCCCTCCAAAAACAATTTAAAAACAAAAGATGTCTAACTGTGTAGGGAAGTAACAGTATTCATAGAGTGCTGCATACCTGTGGAACAGAAGTATTAAAAGAAGTGCCCACAATTCCTTCCTCTGACTCTGTCATCTAAAGATAGGGAAGTTAGGTAAATATGCATGAAAAACAAACACAAAGAGACTCAGAGACGAACTAAAGCTAATCATAGCTTTATGGATCTAAATTGAGATGTGGTGATTCAGTAGAAGTTAGTAGAGTGACTGGTGGGGTGAGTTTGGACCAAAAAAAAACCCAAACCAAAAAACCAAGAGGAAGTGAGTTCTGTTGTGGAGTTTTGAAGAATGAGCAGTATGGTCTGACAGTTGGAGAAGGTGTATCATACAATTATATGGTGATAAATAGCTCAGTTAGGTTAGGAAAGAGATTAATGTGGGGCACAGGTAAACTTCTATTTTTTAATCAGACTAGTGTTTATAGACCAATTTTCCTAAAATAATAATAAAATAGCTGACATCTTAAAGTTCTTACTATATGCCAGGTGTATACATATATATGTGTATATGGTTTATACACATATTATTATATGTATACATATTATTTCTTTAATCCTCATAGGGATCCTATGAGGTACTTATTTTTATGACCCTTATTTTACAAAGTGGTTAATTGAATTGCCTGAGGTCACCCAGCTAGTAAAATGATGAACTTGGTCTGTCTGATTCAGAGCCTGAATTCTTATCCACTATGCTACCTTTCTAATTTCATTTATCTGGAAAGGGTATTCCACACGGCATAGTAAAGAACTGACAATTCTCAACTAAAAATTCATAATACTAAGGTGTAATAAATTTCATTCTCTAAATATCTCTTGAATCTGTGTACCTTTCTCTACCTTGATTGCCATCACCGTCATCTAAAACATCCTCACCTCTTACCTGGACAATTGCAGTAGCCTCCTTCTTCCACTTTTGCTTTCTTCCAATCCTTCTTCAGGATGAACTTTATAATACACAAATAGGGCTATGCCCCTTCCTCGCTTAAATCACTTTCATGGGTTTCCATCTCTCCATTTGCTTCAGTGTTTGCCTCTTCCACTAGACTGCAATCGCTATGAAGGAGGCGACTGCCTAGTTCAAGTGTTGTATCTCCAGGGGTGCCTGACTGGTGCATTCGGAGGAGCAAGCAACTCCTGATTTCAGGGTAGTGGGTTCAAGCCCCATGTTGGGTGTAGAGATTACTTAATAAACTTTAAAAAAAGTGGTGCATCTCCAGCACCTAGCATAGTGCCTTGTACATAGTAGAAGCTACATAAATTTTTGTTGAATGAATGGAATCCAAATGATCCTTAAAAAAAAGAATATTACTCATTTACATAAGAAATGGGTTAATAGGGGATAGGGGATGGGGATAGATTTATTAAATAGGGGATTATTTAAAAATAAAAATAAATAAATAAAATAAATAAAATAAAATTTGTTTCTTCCCCTTAGTCCTTTAGGAAGGCACACTTCTGGGCTGGGCATCTACACGCCCCCCCCGAAAGTGCTTTGTAGGTGCTTTATAAATGTTTACTGAATTAATAAATAAATGCAGGTGAGAGTACCTAATCTGACCTCAGAGAGTCAAAACCTTGGATCGTCGCTTGTCAATACATCTTTCTTCCTATGATGTAAATGTTCTACATCTGCGCTGTCCGATGATACCTTAACCACTAGACACGCGGACCATCGAGCCACATGTGACTCGTGACTACCGGATCGGACAGCTTAGCCTTAGTACAGTTCAATAGTGTGAGCTTGGCACTGGAGCCCGGTAGGTTTCAAGCCTCCACGTTTAAAAAGAGAGATTGTTAATAAATGGTTATAAAATGTCTGGATTCCGGGCTGTTGAATGCCATCGACAGTAGTAAATATCTGTGCACAGTGGCAAGCCATAATTAGCACCTCAGTAACTGAAGACTAATAAACCTTGCATCCTGGCATCCTGACAGACACCCAGCCCAGCGCCGCAGGGTGAAAAGGTTGAAGGTCGGGGAACTCCACCTTAGCCCGGGTGCACTCCCGGCAGCCTGCGATCCCGAACAGCCTCATGGACTTTGTAGTTCAACATGCCAGTGACATCACTACCTGTGTGTCACCACAGCGTGACCCCTGGGTCAATTTCCGGTAACCTGTTCCTCTCTGGGAATTGTAGTCAATAGGCGCTTACTGGACTTGGGGTCTAGTGGTCTGGAAACTACAATTCCCGGCGGGCTCGGAAATGCGCAACGCAGTAGTTCGCAGTGGGCGGGCGATTGCCTCATCAGGTGTAAAGTGTGTGCTTCAGTGTCGTGGGAGGTCTGTCTGCCCCCCAGACGGAAGGGAAAGGTGGTAATCACTGCTTTGAGAGGATCACCGAGGTCACTGTCGTGGGTTTGCAGAGTTAGCTGGGCGGTGCCATGGCGGTGAGTTCTGGCGGGAAGAGAGTCCGCTTCAGCCCGGCCCTAGAACGTGGCTGATCTGTCGGCTTTTGCCAGAAGCTAGGGGCTCCATGTGGTAGTTGTCCTGAAGGGAAAAATCCTTCTCTAGAGAAAGGGAATGCCTTGACCCCCACGCTAAAGATGTGGATGTTGTGAGGATGTGCCTTTTCTTGCTAGCTGTTGAGCCAGGAGCTGATATCTTCAACTTTACACCCTACTTAATGTTTTGTGTTAATTTCACCGAAGTGTCTGAAACCTATTTGGAGAGAGAGGAGTAGGTAACCTCGTTCCTCCTTTTAACAAAAAATTATTGAGCACTTCCCCGTAAAACAGTCACAGATCTCTACATTCATGGTGTTTACATGTGTGTGTGAGAGTTTCGTACTAAGATACACGATAAAATATGTCAGGTGCCGGTAAGTGCTATAGAAAAAAAAATAGAGCAGGAAGGGGAGACCATTGAGTGTGAGGTGGGGTAGGGCTGCAGTTTTAAAAGGGTGATCAAGAAAGGCTTTGCTAAGAAGGTGGCATTGTGGCAGAAAGGAGGTAAGGGAGCAAGCCAGGCAGCTATATGGAGGAAAAGATTTGTAGGCAGAAGCAACAGTGTGAGTGAAAAGCTTAACGGACTGAGCCACCTAGGCACCCCGAGTATGGACAACTCATGAGGAATTTTATAAAGGAGAGCAGAGGATTGGGGTAATAGGTGAAGGTCAAAGGAGGACTTTTTTTAAAGGTAGAAGAAATTACCCAATGCTTGTATGCTTATGGGAATTACCCTGTAGATAGGAAAAATTAATGTGCTGTTCCTGAATAGAGTAAAGGGGATGAGATCAGGTCATCAGTAGAGGGCTTAAGTGGGACCACACTCATCTATATAATAGGAAAGAAGACAGATTGTATGGGTACACATGCATGTGGGTAAGCAGATGTGATGAGGAAGACTGAACATTTTTTGCTCATTTCTGTTTTCTCATTGAATTAAGAGCCAAGATTACCATCTAAAAAGAAGGATAGGAGAGGAAATGCTGGAGGCTTGAGGAGAGAGGCTTGTTTAGGACATTGCTGTCATTAGAACTTTCTGTGATGAAAATGTTCTATATTTGCACTAATTTGGTAGCCACTAGCCACATGTGGCTATTGAGCACTTGAAATGTGGCTGGTGCAATGGAAGGACTGAATTTTAATATAATTTTAAAATTAAAAGGTTACATGTGGCTAGTGGCTACTGTACTGGACAGTATACACATTAAAGTTTGAGAAGCACTAGTCTAGAAGGAGTAAGTAACTAAGTGGATTTCAGAAATTAGTAGTATTGCTGGGCATCACTTGACGTTAGTGGACATGATTTTAAATTGAGGCCAGTCAGCATGGTTGAATTCTTATCTCCTGCCACTTTCAGCTGTCTGGCTGAGGGAACAGAGCCGGGTGCATAGGAGGGTTGGAGTTTTGCCAGGCAAGAATGGTAAAGAGAATAGTGAAGGAGTGATTATATAGATGGATTTAAGGGATGGCAATAAGGACTTGTGGTGGGAGGGCCCTAAGGATTAGTGAAAAAAGGTCATGATCAATAGATCCTGTTGGGGTTGAAGAATTATTGGAGTTGGAATTCTAGTAGCGTTAAGACCAATAATATCAGTAACTAACAGTTCTTATGTGTCATGCTTTGTGTTTAGGATTTTATTTGAATTGTCTCATTGAGTCTTCACACTAATCTATTTGAGTTAGGCACTCTTATTTGCAGTTTACAAACGAAGAAACCCAGGCTTAGATTGCTTAACTAACAGGTCCAACTTCTCATAACTAGGACATGATGAAAGTGGATTAGAACTCGAAGGGGTTGACTCATTTCTCAGTCACTATGTCATCCTGCTTTCCAGGAAAACACATGCCTTCTGAGTCCTGGTCCAGGGCTTTTTCTTCTGTTCCAGGTTGCTCGATGACTCCCCACCAGCCCCACTCCCCTACGGTGATATCCTTAGCTAATGTGGAATTTGCAGGTCTTTCTCTTTTTTTGGTGTTAATGGGAATGGGCTTTTCAGTTTGAAAGACTTTAATACATTCTTTTCTTCTTTTTAAGTTTTATATAAGGAAACTGGCAACATTCCTGGTACATATGATTGTTTTACTCTATTCACTTCTTGGCCTCTGAAAATATTCATGTTTTACACTGTCATGATACTGGACTGACGTTAAAGTTCGTTTTATTGGAAGAATCCAGTAAGAACTCCCTTATAAAGAATAAGTAACAATAAAAAATAATAAAAAGTACTGATTGCTTATTCTGTGCCATGTATTAGTGTTTTACATATTTTTTCATCAAAACAACCCTGTAAAAGTGGTGCTATTTTTATCCCCATTTTACTGATGTGGAAAATAAGGCATCAAATCTACTCAGAGGAGGAATTAGAATTCATTTGGTCCCATTCTGGAGCCCATTCTCTTAATCATCATGCTACCCCCAGTTGTAAGTTAATTAGGAAATTTCTTTTGCAAACACCTCCCATGAGGAAAATTTTCTCTTTCCAGAGGAAATCTTATCAATACGAAGTGTAAGACAATGAACATGTGATAGCATGGGTAGCATATTAGTTTTTATTTTATAATTGAATATGTAAATACCAAACTATAATTTTCTTCATATCAGAGTAGTATTTATTTTTTGGAGCTTTTGACAGTTAGTAATCTCTTCTAATTATGTATGAGACTTTTAGAGGGGATCTGGGGGTGTGATGATACAAACATAATGGCCAACTTAAAAAAATACTGTTTTTAAATTTTCACTTGGAAAATTTAAATACTGAACAAAACAGAGATAATAATAGTATTAGGCACTTCCATATACCCATCACCCAACTTCAATAATTGGCAGTTCAGGGCCATCTTGTTTCATATATCCCTTCCTGGGACCCTGCCCCTCCGGATTCATTTTAGGCGAGTTCCAGGCATCGTATGTACATGTTTGGCATATTTTAGTATAAGGTTTTTACATCAGTACATAGTTTAGTAAGTTATTTTTATTTTTATTTTTTTAAAGATTTTATTTATTTGTTTGAGAGACAGAGAATGAGAGATAGAGAGCACGAGAGGGAAGAGGGTCAGAGGGAGAAGCAGACTCCCTGCCGAGCAGGGAGCCCGATGTGGGACTCGATCCTGGGACTCCAGGATCATGACCTGAGCCAAAGGCGGTCGCTTAACCAACTGAGCCACCCAGGCACCCTAGTTTAGTAAGTTTTTTTAATGTAATGATAACTTCTCTTAAAGCATAACCCCAATGCCATTTTCATACCTAATAAAAATCACATGATATCTAGATGTCTGTGGTATTGGTTGACATTGTGCATTTACCCTGGGTCCAGTACTATGCTAAGTTCTTCATGCATATTAAGTTTTTTAATCCTCATACTAACACTACAATGTAGGCATAGTTTTTATTCTCATTTTATAGATAGGTAGAAAAATGGAGGCTTAGAGAGTTTAAGGAATTTGCCTAGGGTTCTACAGCTAGTAAGTGGTGGAGCTAGGAGATGGCCAGAGTCCCAAGAGAAAGCAGAAATAGAAGTCAGAAGATGAGGGTTTTTGTCCAACTCGATCAATTGCTGACACGACGATCTCTGAGCTTCAGATTTATCATCTTTGAGAAATGATAGCTGTTAGTCTGCCCAGTTCTTAGGGTTATTGTTAAGATCAAAAAAGTTAATGTTCATAAAAGCTTTAAGCTGCAAGATACTATGAATATATGAAAGAGTTGTTACCTATTTAGAGATTCTTTACTGGGGATGATTTTGTCCCCCTGAGAACATTTGGTCTGGAGACTGGATTATCTGGGGGGTGTGCTGCTGGCATCTAGTGGCTAGAAACCAGGAATGCTTCTAAGCATCTTACAATGCACAGGACAAAAACACAAAAAATTATTTAGCCTAGGGCGCCTGGGTGGCTCAGTCGTTAAGCGTCTGCCTTCAACTCAGGTCATGATCCCAGGGTCCTGGGATCAAGTCCTGTATCAGGCTCCCTGCTCAGCAAGAAGCCTGCTTCTCCCTCTCCCACTCCCCCTGCTTGTGTTCCTGCTCTCACTCTCTCTCTCTCTGTCAAATAAATAAATAAAATCTTTAAAAAAAAAGTATTTAGCCTAAGCTGTCAATAGTGCCAAAGTTTAGAAACTCTGATCTTAGCAAATAACCTAACTAATTATTATAACCAATTGTCTAGTTAAATAGCCAGTGAAGAAATTAAGACTCAGATTGATGGAGTGACTTTCCAAGGTTATATAACAAATTGGTGCTGGGGCCAAAGTCAGATTTCATTACAATTGACTTCGATGTTTTGAGAAGCAAATTTTTTCAGAGAAGCAGAAACCTCAAAGAAGGGGCGCCTGGGTGGCTCAGTTGGTTAGGCGACTGCCTTCGGCTCAGGTCATGATCCTGGAGTCCCGGGATCGAGTCCCGCGTCGGACTCCCTGCTCGGCGGGGAGTCTGCTTCTCCCTCTGACCCTCTTCCCTCTCATGCTCTCTATCTCTCATTCTCTCTCTCTCAAATAAATAAATAAAATCTTAAAAAAAAAAAAAAAGAAACCTCAAAGAAGAGTTTTTGTGTATTTAGTGTGCTCAGTAACAACGAAAAGAAATATATAGTTCTAAGTAATTTGTGAAGACTATTGCTTTCATGTTCTTCTTTAAATGGTTGACATGGTCATTTTTAAGCAAAAAAATATTTGTCCTGTAACTTCTTTGTCTATGGCACTGTACTTGGTGCTGAGGTGACTATAAAAGTTCTGAAAGTTGCTGTCTGCCAGGAGTTCACAGGTCAACTGGGTAAATGTCTTAGGGATCATTTGGTTGCATGCAATGGAAGCCAACTCAAGTTGGTTAAAGAGGAATTTAGTAATGATACAGTGGGATTTCATATCACTCATGACCCTAGGGTAGGAGGTCCAACTAGGCTTCACGAGCTAGGCTTTTGGTATAAAGACAAGTATTAATATTATATTTATAATATTATATGTGTTGCTAAATACATATATTAAATATATTAAAGTTTTATTAATATGTTAATAGTATTAACATATTAATCTGAAATGATAAAATTAATATTAACTAATATTAAATGTACTAGTTTTTCTCTTCAACCTTAAAGTTTGTTCTTTATTTCCGATTTTAAAATAAATTAAAATATTTTTGTGAGCCCCTATAGGTTAGAGAGTTCAAGGAATTGGTCTAGGGTTCTATAGGCAACCTAGGCTTCTGTAGGCATCCTAGGCACTTTGCCTATTCTATTTACAGGTTAAGTCAGCTGTTAGGAGTTGTACAGGCTGTTTTTTATTTATTTTTTATTTTAAGATTTTATTTTTAAGTAATCTCTACACCCAGTATAGGGCTTGAACTCCCAACCCTGAGATCAAGAGTCACATGCTCTAACGGCTGAGCCAGCCCGCCACCCTGGAGTTGTGCAGGCTGTTGTAAGGGCTAGGTGGAATCTTCTGCCCAAAACTCCTTTGCTGGAACATAGATCCAGTCTAACTGGGAATTCATCTGGAAACATAGAAGAGTACATTTAACCACCTCTAATGCACTGCCTTAAATAAGACTGGGCTTTTGTTGTTGAAGAAAGAGAAGGAACAGGTATTGGGTAGGTGATTTGCTGTCCCTGCCATAGCTTATTTTCAAATGATAGTCTTTGTATATTACTACTGAAAACCGGTTTGCATGTATAGAAATAGAGAGACTTGTAACTTATAGGTTACTTGTTAGGAGGAGGGTTTTGTAGTAAGAAGGAGCAAAGGAGCTGAGGGTCTGAAAGAAGGTGGTTAGCAGCATAAATGGAAGGGAGTGAATAGATGAAGGCCCTTATTCTTTCCTGGAAAAGGAAATAACCTTATGCAACCACACTTACTTTTATGGAAATTCTTGGGAAGGAGTCCAAATTGCTTAGTACCTTGATGCACATATGCACCTAGTTCCTAGTCTGTTATTTTTTTATGGCCACAATATGCAAAGGCGGGCAATGCATTGTTCATTTCTCTCTCTCTCTCTTTTTTTTTTTTTTAAAGATTGTATTTATTTATTTGACAGAGAGAGACACAGCAAGAGAGGGAACACAAGCAGGGGGAGTGGGAGAGGGAGAAGCAGGCTTCCCGTGGAGCAGGGAGCCCAATGCGGGGCTCTATCCCAGGACCCTGGGATCATGACCTGAGCCGAAGGCAGATGTTTAACGACTGAGCCACCCAGGCGCCCCATGTTCACTTCTCTTTTAAAATCTTTAAATATTGAACAGTTATTTGTTGAGAACCTGCTATAAGCTAGACCTTGAGGTTATAATGAGATACAAGTTACCAGTCCCCACCATGAACAGGCTTCAGTAGTCCTGTGAGGAAGACAGATGTATACCGATACCACTGTGTGATTAGTGCTGGCATGGGGGAAATATTGGTAGGTAGGAACATATTAAGAATGGCATATCATAACCTCCTGGTGACCAGTGCAGGTGATTAGCTGAGACCTGAAGGATGAGAGAGCAAGGCAAAGAGATTGATGAGGCATGAGGGCAGAGAAAGTACTTGGAACAGCGGCTCAGGTGAGAGAGGGAGCTTGGCACATTTGGGAAAATGCAGATGCCTTGATGGGCCTGCAGTGGGGGGATGAAAGAAAGGGGCGGAGAGAGGGATCTGGCAGAAATTAGACAAGAAGGGCCTGGAGTGCCAGGTTTTACAGAATAGACTTTATCCTGACAGCTACAGAGAATCTCTGAAAGGGAATTGACTTGATCAGATTGGTGTTTTGATACCATTTCCACTCACAGCAGTTATGATCTGGTCAGGGTTTATAGAAACAAAAAATTTCCTTGTCACTTTCATTTTCCTTTGGTTACTGGAGAAACTTGTTATGTCCCTGATTTTTTTTTTTTTTAAGTAATCTTTACACCCAGCGGAGGGCTTGAAATCACAACTCCAAGATCAAGAGTTGCATGCTCCACTGACTGAGCCAGACAGGCATCCCCATGACTTTTCAAATTATGGAATTCTTTCTCATTTCCTCTCTGCCTTTGTAGCAGGGTTCTTCCTTTAATCCAGTATTTCACCTCCTCATAAGCTGACTTGTTCTTGTCTTCTTTCTTAAACATGCTTCACCTCCTCCTTGTAAGCTGACTTGT